CGATTGTGTAAATAAGTGATTTTTCTCCTTCACTGATGTACGCTAATGAGGCTGCAGTGATGGGCACTGATAGGCTGCACTGATGGACACTGATAGGTGGCACTGATGGGCACTGATGAGGAGGCTCTGGTAGGTTGCACTGATGGGCATTGACAGGCATCACTGATGGGCACTGAAAGGCAGCACTGATACATGACACTGATATATGGCACTGATAGGTGGCACTGATAGGCATCACTGACTGGCACTGATAGGCAGCACTGACTGGCACTGTTAGGCAGCACTGACTGGCACTGTTAGGCGGCACTGACTGGCACTGATAGGCGGCACTGATGCGCACTGATAGGTGACACTGACTGGCACTGATAGGTGGCACTGATTGGCAGCACTGATAGGTGGCACTGATTGGCATTGATAGGTGGCACTGACTGGCACTGATGGGTGACATTGAAAGGCAGCTCAGATGGGCACTGATATGTGGCATTGATGTGCACTGGTAGGCACTGATATGTGGCATTGATGTGGCACTGATGGGCACTGACTGCTGGCACTGAGGGACACTGACAGGTGTACAAGTTCCCTCCGCGGAAAGCCGATTACTGGCTCTCCTCTCCTCTGTCAGTGTGACAGCTCGAGAGGAGAGAAATGCCGATAACCGGCATTTCCATGTTTACATGTGATCAGCTGTGATTGGACACAGCTGATCACTTGACCGAGCCAACATCTGTGGCTCTTTCCGTGATCCGCTGTGTCCAAGGGACACAGTGCACCGGCGATCGCCGCTCTGCGCGCTCCCTGAGTATATGGTATAAAAGTCCAGTTATGTTTTACCCAGCAGGCATCTGAAGTTGGTAGACTAAAATTTCTAGGCATGGGTCCCCACACACTATATTGCCAAAAGTATTGGGCCCACCCACCAAATCATGTGATTCAGGTGTTGCAATCCCCTCCATGGACACAGGTGTATACAATCAAGCCCCTAGGCATGCAGACGGCTTCTACAAACATTGGTGAAAGAATGGGTCACTCTCAGGAGCTCAGTGACTCCAAGCGTGGTCCCGTGATAGGTGGCCACCTGTGCAATAAGTCCATCCGTGACATTTCCTGGCTACTAAATATTCCACGCTCAACTGTTAGTGGGATTATAACAAAGTGGAAGCAACTGGGAACAACAGCAACTCAGCAACCAATTGGAAGGCCACGTCACATGACAGAGCGGGGGTCAGCACATGCTGAAGCGCACAGTGCGCAGAAGTCGCCAACTGTCTGCAGAGTCAATAGCTAAAGACCTCCAAACTTGGTGTGGCCTTCAGATTAGCACAACAACAGTGTGTAGAGAGCTTCATGGAATGGGTTTCCATGGCCGAGCAGCTGCATCCAAGCCTTACATCACCAAGTGCAATGCAAAGCGTCGGATGCCGTGGTGTAAAGCACGCCGCCACTGGACTCTAGGGTAGTGGAGACGTGTTCTCTGGGGTGACCAATCACACTGCTCTGTCTGGCAATCCGATACATGTGTCTGGGTTTGGTGGTTGCTGGGAGAACAGTACTTTCTTGACTGCATTGTGCCAAGAATAGTGATCATATGAAGCTATTACATTTATTATCGCATAGTTGATTGGCTCCTTTTTAAAATTCTAATGATAACAGAAATCACCCAAATGGCCCGGGTCCAAAGTTTCCCCCCCTGGAATATTTGGCCTTGGTACAGACACAAGGTGACACACACGGGTTAAAATGGCAATTAAAGGTTAATTTCCCACATCTGTGGCTTTTTAAATTGCAATTAGTGCCAGTGTATAAATAGTCAATCTTATATAGAATCTACATAGTCTCATGTAGATGCACTGAGCAGGCTAGATACTGAGCCATGGGGAGCAGAAAAGAACTGTTAAAAGTCCTGCATAACAAGGTAATGGAACTTTATCAAGATGGAAAAGAATATAAAAAGATATCCAAAGCCTTAATTATGTCAGTCAGTCAGTACAGTTCAATCACTTATTAAGAAGTGAAACATTCAGGGATCTCTTGATACCAAGCCAAGGTCAGGTAGACCAAGAAAGATTACAGCCACAACTGCCAGAAGAATTGTCTAGGATACAAAGAAAAACCCACAGGTAACCTCGGGAGAAATACAAGATGCTCTGGAAAAAGACAGTGTGGTTGTTTCAAGGAGCAACCTTGAATACAACGATACTTAAACAAAAATGAGCTGCATGGTTGAGTTACCAGAAAGAAGCCTTTACTGCGCCAATGCCACAAAAAAGCCCGGTTACAATATGCCTGAAAACACCTTGACACACCTCACAGCTCCTGGCACACTGTAATCTGGAGTGATGAGACCAAAATAGAGCTTTATGGTCACAAACAGCGCTATGTTTGGAAAGAGGTCAACAAGGGCTATAGCGACAAGAATACAATCCCCACTGTGAATCATGGTGGTGGCTCACTGATGTTTTGGGGGTGTGTGAGCTCTAAAGGCACGGAGAATCTTGTGAAAATTGATGGCAGGATGAATGCAACATGCTATCAGAAAATACTGGCAGACAATTTGCATTCTTCTGAATGAAAGCTGCTCATGGGACGCTCTTGGACTTTCAAGCACCACAATGACCTTAAGCACAAGGCCAGTGGCTACAGCAAAAAAGGGTGAAGGTTCTGGAGTGGCCATCACAGTCTCCTGACCCCAACATCATCGAGCCGCTCTGGGGAGATCAAAAACGTGCGGTTCATGCAATACGACCAAAGACTTTGCATGACCTGGAGGTGTTTTGCCAAAACCAATGGGCAGCTCCACCACCGGCAAGAATTCGGGGGCCTCATAGACAACTATTACAGAAGACTGACCGCTGTCATTGATGCTAAAGGGAGGAATAGAACGAAGGGGATGCAGACTCTTGAACAGGAGGCATTTCATTGGTTTACTTGTTGCCATGTTTTGTTTTATGATTCTGTTATCACCTACGGCTACAGAATATGAATCCCATAGGAAATAAAAGAAATGGGTTTTGCCAGCTCACTCATCTTTTCTTTACAAATGGTACATACTGTATATTACCAGTTCTCCAAGGGGAGGCAAACTTTTGAGAACAACTATATATATATATATTGTATTTATATATATATATCTCTCTCTCTCTATATATATAAAGGGCTCTTCCAAAAGTTTCTTTGTTTTTTAAACTCTAGAATATATATATAAAAGTGCAGAAACTTGTTGATGACCCCTATATATACTGGGGGAAGGGAGTAACACAACAAATGGAGTTCTGCTTTAACCACCTCCCGTCCGGCCGTTGTATATAAACGGCCGGACAGTGGCAGTGCAGGGTCGGGTGGCCGTTTATATAAAAAAACAGCCTCCCCGCCCCCTGCTTGTGTGCGCTCCCTGGGACACAGTGAAACACCGATCGTCGGACGGGACCTCTGTGCGAGGTCCCGATCATGTGATCACTGATTGGCCAATCAGTGATCACATGCAGAGTAGTAAGCAAGATGTCACTTCTGACATCATTGCTTACTACGTGTGAAATCTGTGAATGATCACAGAGATCACATGGTACAGGGCTATTCACAACAGCCTTGTACCATGTGACAAGCTGTGACCAATCACAGCTCTCACAATATTTCTCAATGACTGCAAGAATGCAGACAGAGAGAAAGAAAAATGATTGCTTTTACAGCCTTTATGGATGTAAAAACAATCAGTGTGTAAAAAAACAAAACAAAACAAAAAAACAAAAACATTATTCATCACCCCCCCACAAATAGTACTGTCACTATGGTGACACTGTACTGCTAAGGTGACAGTGTGTTAAAAAAATATATATAAAAATATGTTTCTGAAAAAAAAATTTTTGGTTATTTTTTTTTTTTTACTAAAAAGAGAACTGAATAAATTTTGGCCAAGATTTATGAAGAAAAAGAAAATTTTGCAAAGAAAAAAAAACACTTTTCCCCCCAAATTTGTGTACAGCCAGAGAGAAGGAGAAATGATTGCTTTTACAGCCTTTATGGGTGTAAAAGCAATCAGTGTAAAAAAAAAAAAAAATAATCTTCATCACCCCTCACAAGTAGTACAGCGTCACCATGGTGACACTGTACTGCTAGGGTGACAGTATGTAAAAAAAACATAAATAATAATAATATAAAAAAAAAACTAAAAATTTAAAAAAAAAGTTTAAAAATTATAATTTTTGGTTAATAACTAATTTGGGTTATTTCTTTTTTTTTTGCTAAAAAGATAACGGAATACATTTTGGCCAAGATTTATGATGAAATATTTTTTATTTGCAAAATGTTATAAGAAAAACACTTTTTTTCAAAATTTTTGGACATTTTCATTTACATAGCAAAAAAAATTAAAATCCCAGTGGTGAATAAATACCACCAAAATAAAGCTTTATCTGTCTCAAAAAAATACAAAAAAATTCACATGGGTACAGTGTTGCATGACTGCGCAATTGTCATTCAAAGTGTGATATCGCTGAAAGCTGAAAATTGGCCTGGACAGGAAGGGGGTAAAAGTGTCCGGACTGGAAGGGGGTGAAAGTGTCCGGACTGGAAGGGGGTGAAAGTGTCCGGACTGGAAGGGGGTGAAAGTGTCCGGACTGGAAGGGGGTGAAAGTGTCCAGACTGGAAGGGGTGAATGCGTCCGGACTGGAAAGGGGTGAAAGTGTCCAGACTGGAAGGGGGTGAAAGTGTCTGGACTGGAAGTGGGTAAAAGTGTCCGGACTGGAAGTGGGTGAAAGTGTCCGGACTGGAAGGGGGTGAAAGCGTCCGGACTGGAAGGGGGTGAAAGCGTCCGGACTGGAAGGGGGTGAAAGCGTCCGGACTGGAAGTGGGTGAAAGCGTCCGGACTGGAAGAGGGTGAAAGTGTCCAGACTGGAAGGGGGGGTGAAAGTGTCCGGACTGGAAGTGGGTGAAAGTGTCCGGACTGGAAGTGGTTGAAAGTGTCCTGACTGGAAGTGGGTGAAAGTGTCCGGACTGGAAGTGGGTGAAAGCGTCCGGACTGGAAGGGGGTGAAAGTGTCTGGACTGGAAGGGGGTGAAAGTGTCTGGACTGGAAGTGGGTTAAAGTGTCCGGACTGGAATTGGGTGAAAGTGTCCGGACTGGAAGTGGTTAAAGTGCACTTTATAAAGAGTTTTGAACAGATAAGAGTTTTTGTTACTTTTTTCTGACCTCCGGAACAGATTAATTGGTTTAATGCATTTACAAATTCATTTAGCCTGGGCAGGAAGGGGGTAAAAGCGTACGGACTGGAAGGGTTAAATAGCACATTTATCTATACAGATCTGTCATTATTAGACAGACAAGGACAGAGGACTTGCCAGTTTGTCAAAAAAAATAAATATATTTGTTACTTTGCGTCAATAAGATGGTGAGGAGTTTCTCTATAGCTCTGAATATTAATATATTCACTTTAATCTAAATATCCTACACCGCCTTCCACTGTATGTTTCAGCTCCAAATTTTCTTTTCTCGAACCTTCGGTAATCATCATGGTCCCCCGGATGAGATTTTGGAGCTGGCGGGAATGAAGTGATCCGAGATTTTCTACATGTTCCATTCTGTTAGAAGTAAGAAGATTTCATCGTGACTCATGTCGTTATTTCACCTCTGGGCTAGTTTAGAAACAATTTTACCTCCTTTATCTCAGAATATGTCTTCAGTAATGTGCAGTAAGTGCACAGAATTACATAGAGATTTGGCACAAGAGTTTCTACGCGAAAGTGCGCCAACACCCTAAAGAACAGAAATGGGAAAGGCCGCTGGATGAGTTGAGTAAGCAAAGTGCGGTTTTGCTGGCTGTGTTATGTATAGTGACAACCCCTCACTGGGATTTTTGGGCGTGCTTTGTCTTACTGCTGGTATACTGACTTACTGCTGTCTCAAACACTCACCGACTCATTTGGCTGAATGACTGACATCAACTGCGTCTGCCAGGGTCTGAATCTGACCCCATCCCCTGGGCCCTCTCGCAGCCTCCTTCCTTCAGTCTCACAACTTCCTCACTGCCTTCCATCGAAACTCTCTTACCAACTGAGCAGGCTCCAACACTTTAAGGGTCTCCGAGCCCCTTACCAAGCCTTCTGTTGGGGATTGGCTAGGATCCCTCAAGAGTGAAAGCTAGCCACTCCTCCGATCCACCCACTGCCTCTAGGCCTTCCCCCAAAGCTCTAGAGCAGGGGGAAATTCCAGACAGGCTGGCCTGCAAAGCCTCTCAGCTCCTGACCACATTTTGACCATCTGGCTATTACACCCAGGCTGCTACTCAGCCCTCCGCTCTATCAATCTGGACTCTGACTCCCCCTAGCTAACTAGGAGGGCACTACACCCGAAAAGCCATACTTCTCAAATGGAAGTCTCCATTAGCCCCCACTTTAGATTTCTGGAAGCATCTAGTTAATGCAGTTGTGCCCAGGGGT